TTATCTTGTAAACTTTCTGGGGATTTATTTTATTGCATTTCCCAGTGTTTCAAATTTAAATCTGCAGCTCTCCCTGCTTCTAAACACATTAATGAACCAACCTTCTGTTCTAATGATGCTGGAGAAACTCTATATTAGAATATATTAAACATGCGTCTCAGTAGCAGAAGGAGGAGCAGGACAAGTGATGGAGGCGCAGGTAAAGCTCCATGAGCCTGATGTTCAGAGCAATAAATAAATACATCAGTTAAAATGGTTGAATGATGGGGTAAACATGGAGGACAGAGGAAGCAAAGGTCTCCTTAAAGCTACAGGACGTCTCTAAGATCAAAGCTTTCATTGTTTGCTAACATGATGCAGGTCAGAAACAGGCAGCTTCACTTCTTCTTCTTCTGTCCAAAAACATCCATCAGAGCCACGAAGCTGCGTTCAACCACAACTAGAAAATAATAAACCAGGAGGACGGCTGATCAGAATTAAACTTTATTTGTCTTTGACATTATTTAATATCAGCAGTTTTGTGACATTTACGCTGGACGCCCTGCTGCTGTTAGACACAGGCTGAGACCTGAAGCTGACCTTTAACCCCTTAAAGCTCAGTCAGGTTAACGTATTCGTCACCATCTGCAGTCTGACCTCCTCAGACATCTTCCTGCATCTATTTCTGCCGCCGCGGCGCGAACAGAGCCGCCGTCACACCTGGAAAACACGCTTCCTTCACTTCCTGCGGGAAAAACCAAGTCAGACCCTGAAAAGGGGAACCAGCCTGATGGCGTTCCTGCTGATCTGCCACGGCGAGTCCAGCGCGGCGCTGCCTGCTGTCAGGGACGTTCACACAGAGCGTGGGAGTGGGAGGCGTTTAACGAGCTAATAATAGAGAGCTGTCAGTCAGCCGTCCACAGGACAGACTGGACCTGACGNAGAGGCGAGCGGGCCTGAGGCAGCTGCTGCTGGGGATTCCCAGTGACAGCGCAGCGCCGCTATAATGCAGGAAGTAGCGTTTCAGAGAAGCTCCGTTTCCCCGGACCCCCCCTACTACGCTGCACTAAGCCTAAAGATGGAACACACCAAGGTGGACACCTTATGAAATATTCCTAGCTAAAAGCCTTAAACGGGAACAGCGTTTTTTTTCCATTGGTCCTTAATTTTCCGTTATTCCATCATGTTCTACCCGCCCAGATGAGTTTAGTGTCATTCAGAGCCGTTCTGAAGATATTCCGTTAAACTAAACTGTTCATAGTTTATTCTTTATGGCACGCCAGTTTAGTTTGTGCCTTCAAGTCGTTGCCCATAGGAAGACGTTACTGGATATAACCTAACGGAATATCTTCAGAACGGCTCCAGATGACACTAAACTCATCTGGGCGAGTAGAACATGATGGAATAACGGAAATCAAGGACCAATGGAAAAAAACGGCGTTTCCCTTTAAGCCAGGGCAGCGGGGGAACGGTTAGCAATAGGAAACTAAAAGTGTTACAAGGACCGAGTTCCGAATCCAAAGCTAAACACTGATCTGACTGAGCTGAACCTGCAGAGAACTTTCAGTTCCTGGAAGTTCTTCCTGTTAGTTTCCTCGCCCCTGCGGCGGTGATCTACGCCAGATGTTTGTGGTCGAGTGTGGAAACGTTTCCAGGGGTCTGAATACTTTAGCATGTCGCCGTACATCAGGAATGTTTCAACTGGAACGTAAATAATCTGCGGCGATGGACGCTGCAGCTCCATCATCCAGAGCTGACCTGCTGATGCTGAGGGCGCTCGCCATGGCGACCACACATCCATCAACTGTTAAAGCAACACAGCGCCTTTAAAGCTACCACTGAAAAAATGCAGAACATAGCTGAAAATAATAAAAGAATTAAATACAGCATAACAATATAAACTAAGGCAATAATAGGATTCCTTTAATTAAAGAAGTACTGTCGTTCCAAAAAAGTTCATAAAGTTCAAATCAATCCTCTGGACTTTGTTTCCAAGTCTGAAGACGTTTCTCTTCCATCCAGGAAGATTTTTCAATCAAA